AAAATATTTTGTGTTGGCAAACAATTTTAAAAAATAGAGAGAGTGAGTTGAAACTTGAAAGGAATTTGATGGACCAAATATTCTAAATCTTTATCCTATCCTTTGATCCCAAAATTTCCACATCCTTATTTTCCCAATTCCCCTCAAAATTTCAACAGAGAGGTCACTCTATCCTTCCTAAAATCCATCAGAATTCACAGAATTTCACATGAAACCCTTCAGTCTCTCCAATCCCACAACCCCTCCGTTCTGATTTTCCATTTTCTTGAACATGCAATTGCTGTCCTCAGCAATTCGAATACCCTCACAGCCACCTTCACTTTCCCAGCTAAAGCCCCAGTCTTTCCCGCCAAAACATCACCTTCCTTCCGGAATTAGCTTGTACAAACCGACAGGGATGACTTCTCTTTCCAGGTTCATTGCTGGGTCGGTAACGGAACTGGCTGCCGGTGCTGGTACTAATGAGGTTAGCACGCTGATGGAGTATGTGGGTAAGGGAGGAATCAATGTGGGAGATGATTTACTGGTTTTGCTTTACCATATACAGTATGCTTGCAAGAGGATTGCTGCTCTTGTGGCCTCTCCTTTCAATTCTGCTCTCGGGAAACACTCCACCGGAGGCGCCGGTGCTGGTGGCTCCGCCCGGGATGCTCCAAAGCCTCTTGATCTTGTTTCAGTATGTTTACCGTACCCATTCCTGAGTAGGTTTCAGAAGTTGAAATTTTGTTTAATGGGTTATCTTTAGCATGGAATTTCATCTTCTTAGTGAATTCTGAATTCCCGAATCCTAATTCTATGAATGAAAAAAAAGTTGAGGAATTCCTGATATGTTGTAGTTTTTTATTTTGCAGAATGAAATCATTTTATCCTCTCTTAGAAATTCAGGAAAAGTTTCAGTTATGGCATCAGAAGAAGATGATGTTCCAGTTTGGATAAATGATGACGGTCCATTTGTGGTGGTACTGGACCCTCTCGATGGTTCTAGAAACATAGATGCTTCTATTCCCACTGGAACAATTTTCGGAATTTATAATCGCCTTGTGGAGCTAGATAATCTACCCACTGAAGAAAAGGCATTGCTGAATTCACTACAGAGTGGGAGTAGGCTTGTAGTTGCTGGCTATGTTCTGTATTCATCTGCGACAATACTTTGCACTAGCTTTGGTTCAGGGACGCATGCATTTACCTTAGATCATTCAACTGGGGACTTCATCCTCACACATCCAAGCATTAGAATTCCTCCTCGAGGTAAGATGATGGATTTTTTTTGCTCTAAATGTTAGGGATTATGAATCCAAATGAGTTGCATTTTTATGTTTTATTGATGATTGTGTTCATTATTGATCTGATTAAAAGAGACTTCTTGCTTTCTGAAAGGTAAAAGAATGTTAGACTGATAGCAGTGTTCTTCAGCTCCAACTAATGATAACTAACTTGATTGTTTCAGGTCAGATATATTCGGTGAATGATGCACGCTATTTTGACTGGCCTGAGGGTCTGAGGCAATACATTGATACTGTAAGACAAGGCAATGGCAAATACCCTAAGAAATATTCAGCACGTTACATATGTTCTTTAGTTGCAGATTTCCATAGGACTCTCTTGTATGGTGGCATAGCAATGAATCCAAGGGATCATCTGCGCCTGGTGTATGAGGCAAATCCTCTTAGTTTTCTTGCAGAGCAAGCTGGAGGCAGAGGTTCTGATGGTAAAAGTAGGATTCTTTCAATGCAACCTGTCAAGCTGCATCAGAGACTACCTCTCTTTTTGGGGAGTCCGGATGACATTGATGAGTTAGAAAGTTATGGAGATGTTCAACAGAAAGTAAATCCTGGATATGAAGTTTGATGGTTTGTGATCTCCAACTGTTGTGATGATATATATCAACCTAGCTCTTTATTTCTTTTTGTATCTACTTGAAGTTAAAAGTTTCACTTTTGCACTGTTTAAACTTTGTTTCCATTTGCTTAATATCTAGACATGGCATGAAAACTCTCATATAAGAGAATATAATGTGGTACAGATTGTGTAGAATATCATCTGTATGTTCTTTGTTTACTTTTTCTTGGCATGTAAAGAATGCATCTTCCTGTTTTCTAACTATTACAGAAAGTCATGGAAAAAGGAAAAACTAACAATGAAATAAGCATCTTTAAGTCATGCTTATATTGCAGATGCCATTGCCTATTCAATGCTTATGCTGTAGATACCATTTGTCAACTACATGTTCTTAGCATTTTCTGCAGATAGTTGACAATCCTTTTTCTTGAGTTTCTGCAAAAACTCAATAAACTTGTTTATGTAGTTATTGTGTAGATTGTGGTTAGAAAAAATTGTTTGAATCTGAGCTGCCTGCATTCGTAGTTGCTGCCCTTCTGGATTGATCATCACCAGCCTCACTGATTTTGCTACCTCTTCTCGATTGAATGATCCATCTTCATTTCTTGGCACCTCAAACCCTATTCCTTTCTCAACTAATAGCTTAGCATTCAGACCTTGCTCAGCTGTCATGGACATCAGAATTTGTGGTTGCCCAACCCAAGTGACTCAATAATAGCACCCCATCCAGAATGGAAGAGGCAACCTACAATAGCAGGATGAGCTAGTATCTCCAGCTGAGGTGACCAACCAAGACAAACAACACCTTGATTAGATGTCCGTGCTAAAAAGCCAGAAGGATGTAAGTGTGAGCTGTCTATTCCTTCTGGCTTCCTGAGAATCCATATAAATGGCAACTCAGAGAGCTCAATTCCATAGGGCAATTCATGGACTTGTTCAATTGGCATCTTATACTCGCTTCCAAATCCCAAAGAGTACAGACTTGGGTTGCTGTCTGTCCAGCCACTGAAAGGTACTGAACCAGTTTAACTCATTTTGATTGTGTGCTTTATTTCCTTTGAAATTAGGAGGCATCAAACCAATTGCTAAAACTGGCTTATGATACAGTTCTTTAAGGAGATCTAAATATTCACCTTCAGATTCTTCACAGCTTCTGACGGCAACAAAGTTACAGCCCTCCAGAGTTTTAACCAATCTCTGACCAGTTGACATGCTAGATTTGTCAGGTATTCTCAAACTTTGGAACCCAACTGCAGCTTGATCACGTTGGTATGAGACCAGAGAAGGGAAGGGGAACCATTCAGGTGCTGTTGTGAGATCTTTTGCCTTTGGTTCGTTTGTTAAAAGACTTTAGCTCATTGGGTGGTCCCATGAATGCTAGCATAGAAGCTGAGTATGCACTAAAGAATGTGCAAGGACACCAAATTTAGCAGCAGTTTCAGGGATCCAACACTGAACAAAATCAAACAGTATCAAATCTGGTAAGTCCACATGCATCAGATTTTCAAATGGAGCCTGCAAACCATCACAAGCCTTCTTCAGATACTGTACTTGCTCTAGTTGCTGGTCAATAGTGGCCTCACAATTCTCCGGCAGCTCATCAACTGAAGGCAATGAGATCTCCACCAACCTTATCTTGTCTGCAAAACTTGGAGGAACTGGAGGCAGCCTCTGCAGATTCCTTGCCATAGAAATGAATGATATTTGGATACCCTTCTTTGCTAGTCTCTTGGAGAACTCAAAAAATGGTATCATATGGCCAAATGCCAGCCATGGAAACATCATCATATGACACTGCTTCGAAGCCATAACTCCTTTAAACCTAGAAGAGAATGCTTACAGTGCTCACATATATTGGTACTCTATATTCTTCATCAAAGGTGGTACTATTGCCCTGTAAATCCTTTGCACAACAATTTTTGCATGATAAATTTCCCAATTTTCTCTCCTGCATGCTGAAGATGGTGACCCTTAATAAGGTGTCAAAGGTAATATTTGTGGAATGAATGAATAATTTCTGTATTGATTTCATGGAAATATATACAGGTATGACTGTCCGGGGAGAAT